TTCGATTAATTGAGCAGCCTTATACTGACGATATTGTCATCTGAAGTTTTGGGTTGGGCAAATATTGCTATTAACACATGGTCCCCATGAGGACAGGTGTGTGTGAGTGTTTGTGTTCTTACCAGTGCCCCTGCAGCATACAGCATGGCCTGGTCTGACAGGAAGTCTTTCTTGGCAGTGTGGTAACAGCTGTAGGCCAGCTCGTAGTGCTGAACCAGGAAGCACAGGTCGGCCATTTTCCTGATCTGCAGCTCAGGGGCTTCTGGGGGATATCTGACATCATAGATGTGAAAGGTCAAACCAGCAATGTATATAGTGTTTATGGTATAGCATTGTGGGAATTTATAAATGCATGCAAGCCCTGTTCTCATATGAAGTGTGATGGGGGAGTAGTGATGGAGAGCTTACAGAAGGCCAAATGTGCTCTTTGGTTCACTGATGCTCTTCTCTGGAACTTTTCCTCCACCAAACCACTTCTTGGTTGCAGTGAACAGAGACCGACTCAGACCTTTCCTGGAGACCAGCTGTGGACAGGGAGGATGTTGGGGTGTGTCAGGCTAAACAGCACCACTACAGTTGAGCTGACTGTTAAACAGCTAGTGTCGCTGTCATAAGCTTTGAAGTTTTTAATGTAGCCATATTATTTGCAATCCGTATATGTATACTCAGATTTGTGAATCTCAAAATACATACATCAGTTTTTGAATATGTACACTGATTACTAAATGTGCAGTAGATTTGTAAATGTGTAAAATCAATTGCCTGTCTTTTTACAGATGATTGCCAGACTCCTGCCATGCCTGAGATTAGTTCTGGTAATTCACAATGCTAATTTATCACAATCAAAATGTGATTAAATATTTCAAGCGTTAAGACCCGGAATTATACCTGGTCATTAAGCTGTCTGATATTCTTCTCTATGTGTGGCAGCAGCCCTCTGAAGGTGAACTCTTGAATGAACTGTCTGATGTGGTCATGGTCATTCAGGGTCAGACATGCCCCATGACTCCCTGCTCCTCCCGCCAGAGTCTCTGGATCTCTTGCACCTTTCTTCAGGTCAGCATTGACAGCACTGAGAGTGTGCAGGGTCCCAGAGCTGCTGGCTGTTTCCAGCTGGAGAGGATGGTTTTCCAGGCTATTGGACACTCCGTCTGGTAGGAAACAGTGTCCAAACTGAGTTACTTACAACATTTTTCTTGTCTTCATTTTATCAGAGCTTTTATATAATATATTAAAATATCCCTGTGCAGACTGATTAAAGGATATGACAGAAAACATTCCATGTTCACTTAATGTTGTCAAGGGTTTCTTGGTAAGGCATCCTATGATCAAATCTTGTCAGGCCAGACAAGTGATGGATGTTTTTTTGTGAATTTTCAAAATGTGGGATCAGTAAAGTTTATAAAATAAAATATTTTCTTATCAATTTCCCTGACAACCAATCAGGTCAAATCAAAAGATTGGCAACAATGGTGTCAATCAAGAAATACTAAAAGTTTTTAACTACAGTGAGGATTTCATTAAATTTTATTTGTTGTGGCCAGTGACTCCAAAGAACCCCTGTAGCACTATATGTGTGTGTGTATATATACATACAGTATATTAGTATATTAAGGAGCTGACCTTTCTCTATTGAGTGATGGCAGTCAACTTCACTGATGTTGTTCTCAACAGCAGTAATGTTTACAGTTGGAGCTACATCCTCAAGCACATCCTGTAATAAGGGTCCTGATGTTAACACAAGGGACATTTTTGACAGAAGACATAACATTCATGTGTTGAGCTCTCTACCAATCCTGGCATTACTGCTGTCAAAGTGAACGCAATTTTACTGACAGTGAAAGCACAGATATTTAGGTTGATCAATATTCAATCCCCCCCTCAAACAGATTAAGGTAGTTTGTATGAATATGAAAGTTTATTCACACTGCAGGCCAGCGGGGGCACACTGCAGGCAGACTGTCCGCGCAGGTTAACTTTCGGGGCTCACCACTGGCCCTGCTCACTGGTCCTCGGTCAGAGGCTTGTGGATTTACCCTCACATCTTTTTCCAAAGTTAAAGTTTACTGTTGCCACAGCTTTTGACACTGGGCCATGGTCAGTCACTGCATGTGGAGGAAGTCTTGGGTACAGTGCTTACCTGGTTATGCATATTACTCCTCTGTAGGTATTGACTCCACGGGTCTGGAATCTGTTCATCTTCTTCAGCTGAGAAGGTCCGAGAGTTCAGTTTCAATAGATAGCAGCCCTGAGAACCATACCTTTGTTTCATATCTTCATACACTGCATCTGCCCTGGAGAGGAAGGAGGAATACTGATCAAACACAAAACTCTTACTACAACGCAAACATATACTACTATCATAGCACGACTCCCTTTTTTTTGCAAATTCATATGCAGTAGGTCTGGGTTGTTGTTTTCTGACAATGTTGACTCTGCAGAGGTTCTAATTAGATGTTTTTAAAACATCATCCTCAACACTGCTTGCTTTTCTGTAATCATGCATTTCTGTCATCATGCATTTCTGTCTTTCATATCAAGAGGCAGCTCAAAAGACAAAACAACCAGAACCAGAAGTCTAGTCATTCATCTCTTTAACAGAGAAATTATACAAGACGGAATAATTGAGTAGTGAGTGAGAGTTCGATCCCCTGTTCCTCCTGCTGCATGTCGAAGTGTCCTTGAGCAAGATACTGAACCCCAAACATGCATGGATGTGTGTGAATGGGAGAATGTGACGTAGTGTAAAGGTCGGAAGACTTGAAAGGTGCTATACTGTACAAATGCTCCAAGACTGGTGCCCAAAAAATAATGATAATGTTACACAAATTGGTGAAGACGTTTTCGACACATACTTTGCCTACTCTCAAATATTGTACTACAACACAAGCTGGCAGATCTGCATAAATCTATGCATGTTGATAGAAAAGCTTCTTTCAGTACCTCTGTTCATCGCCCTCACTCATGTCATGAAGTAAGACGTAGTACTTGAGTGTGTTGGGAATAAACCATTTGGGGTTAGTGTATTCTCCACTGTGTTGAATCCTGTGCTGCTCCTGGGAAAGCTTGAGGAAGTGCTCCACAGGGACTGTTTCAGTGGAAGACACTACCAGTAGGCCTGTCAGGACCAGGATGTCAAGGACACCACTGTAAACCATTTAGATCCAACAGAAAAGAGCAAATACGCTGAACAGGAGGGCCTATGCGACTACAACTACTAGTACTAGTACTTTTCCCATAAAAGTACAACTTTATTACATAATGAGATGTATTTCCTGTTGATTCGGGACTTATTATTAGTCGTAGTAGTAGCAGTAGTACTAGTACTACTACTAGTTTTCAGAGGCTTTAAGGTGAAAAGCTTGATACTGTGTGGTGTGCTTAAAAGTTAACCAGGGGCATTCTGTCTAACTATTTACTCACATTCACTATTTTGTACAACTAACACTACATACATGCAGTAAAACCTCTTCTTACTTAAATTTTCTCTGACCTTCTCCTTAAAGTGGGGTTTTCAGATATTTTCTGATATGACACCACCTGAACCAGGACACTGCTTAACATAATTGGAATTTTAATAAATGATCTGACCAGAGTTGGTTGACTATTCATGATCAGTGGCTAGATTTGCGCACTGTTGAAAGGATACAGGCAAGGTAGTGATTGAGGAACTCATGGTCTGAGGCAGGCATCGACTGCAGGAAGTTCTCCCTGTAGGTTTCAAACCAGGGCGTGGTTGCTAGAAACACAAAGACAAAATTAGATAGGAGGATTTTATCCAACAAACCCAGATCAGCCATTGTATCATACTATGTGTTCTCCGTTTACCAGATAGTTACCAAAAAAACACTGCTTTTAGTTTTTTTTTTTTTACTTGGTGTTAAAAATCATATGTGAACTACTGTTATTGCTGAGCAACTGTGTCCCAATTTCCCAATTTAATTCAAGAGAACACAACAGAACTGCAAAATAACATGTAGGGGTTTTGTCTTAAGTGTAATTACTTTTTATAAATCATTTCAACTGTATAAGTCATTGTTTCTTGAAAAATTAAACAATCATCATTCATCATAAACTCAAATGTTCATGATATGTGGAAAGCAACACCAGGAGAGTGATGTTTATCAGCATTTTCCAAAAATACTAAAGTTTCTACTTGCATGAGAATTTAGACCTGTTCAGGTGTGCAAGTTGTCAACTGTTAAACTTTAACAGTTCAAAGATCAACATGTACAAACCTTTTTTATGATTATGATGTGGGATTATATCGCCCAGTCTTTGTATGTGGGGCACATCCTCTACCAGGTGAGCTACCAGTGTGTCCCAAATGTGTACATCACAAAGATTGCGTTGCATTAGTTGCCAACCATGAACCATAATGTCTCCGGCAGAAGACCATGTTGCACATTATTACCCATCTTTCTAATTTTCCTCTCTCCTCTATTACAGGCACAAATACTAAAACAAAATCACAACTGTAGTCTTGTGATTTAGTTTTAGGAAATCATCTGAAGAGTAACAGAGGAGGTTTTGCTCATATTTTCCCAAGAAAGCAATTGAAAATTAAAGATGGCATCAATCCAAAGTAAAATGATTACTCATACTGCCTCATCTCCACTGTAAATAAAAAATGGAATTAAAACTGTGTGTCACAGGTTACTGTTGTTACCTCTGAGTATCTTATGATTTGATTGTGATTCTTAATGGGTCTTGACACATCTGAATTGTTTATTTCCAAAGTTTTTCTTACTATATAACCACAATTGCACATTTCTTCTCACCAATTTGAATCCTTAACATTTTTTTGACTTGATTATTTTTATTCTTCTGATGCCAACCTCCTGTCTCCACCACTGAGGA